AGCTCTTAAAGTATGTGTCCCTCGACTTCATTAATTAATTTTTCGGACGTTAATTCGGGAAGGGTTACCCAATGAGCAGTTCTATAGTCTCAGGAAGAGATTTTAGACTGGTAAGTATCTAATTGCTTTAACGTCAAAATGACATGATCATTAGGCTTTGAAAAGTTTTACCGATATTTTTACTTTTTCAACTTTCATTAATCCAAAGTTGTAAACAAAAACATCCAACATAACCAACGTAAAGGCAGGCATAAAAATACAAGCAGACTCATCGATAGCACGTTGACTTATTGATCATTCCTCCAATCAAAACAAAGTACCGTTATGTTGCCAAACAGTGCTTCTTATAAAAATAATTAACAACGAAAAAAAAATATAAATAAGTTTTAACTAATAAAAAGTTTAACAAAAAGTTACAAAGCGAAATTATTTTTGAAAACATTCACTCAAACATACATACGAGGGGATTAACAAAAGTTCGGACGGTTGGTGAATTTCAATTAGTTTTTGTTAAATCTAAAAATACTATTTAAATCCTTTGCAATTACTTTATTAATCTTCCTTTAAAACTCTAGAACGATCGGTTAAAATGAAGACAAGAAAGCACAAAATAGCTGGGGATAGGTCAGACGAATTTCCCCCACCAACGCAAACAGAAATTCGTCATGTGATTCTCCACGGGTTTCGGCATAATTTACAGCCAATACAAATATTCAGAGAAGGCCAAATTTCATATGGAACGATTGCACCGTCTTTGAAGACTATTTGCCATTCCATATCAAAATCTTCCACTGCTGAGGTCAGTGGAGCTCTGGAGAAATCCAAAATTCACGAAGATCCACGATTGACACAAGAAATGATTGCTAATGAATTGGGCTTGAGTGCCATGGCCATATCGCGAAAATTAAGGAATCAGACGGTAACATCAAAATGGTGTACCGAAGAGTACCGAAAGCTTTCCAAAATTTATTTGGAAACCGAGAAGAAAGAGGATGATAACGCGCCATTCCACACTGCTGTAATAACGAATAATTTTATTCCAATCTCTGGGATCGAAGAAATACGTTCAGCACCATATTCCCCAGACGTAGAACCTTGTGAGTTCTGGTTATTTCCTAAAATTAAAAAAGAAAGTTGAAAGGAAAGTTCTTTAATAGCAACGAACAGATAATTAATGTGGTTAATGCTGAGCTTGATAAGAAGATGACGAAGGACAAAGATTATGAACAAATACAAAAAAGGTTTTTTCTGGTCAACTTGCCGAACTTTTGTTAATCCCCTCGTACATACGTACATCGTTGCCGCACGTAGCGAAATGGTGAACGAAAAAATTCACACGTACTCACATGCAAACGTGTGGCAAGTTATCAATAATCATGAGAAAGTGTGCACGTAACGCGTACATATGTACATATATACAAACATACACACTTGCATGCATGCATGTGCCTCAAGTGATGGCTCAAGTGCCGGAATTGAGATGCCAAAATTGCATTTCTGAGCCATTCCATTTTCAGCGCCGTGTCCAAGCCGAACTCTCGGCCGAGCAAATCATTGAGCCGTTTCGCTTTTCATTTGGTCGCACTTTGACCACCGAATAAAACGATTCTTCATGGTGACGCTACGCCGCTGCTGATTAAGTTGATGATGATTATTCACACATAATCGCGTTGTAATATTTTCTTATTATTTACAGTTTTTTCATTTTCATTTTCATTTTCAAGTGTTCGGTGCTTACATGGGATGACTTATGGCTTGAGTGGCAGTGTGTGTGAGTTTGTGTGTACAGAAAACCATGGTCTGCTTTTGTTGCTCTCTTGCAGTTTTGTTGTTGTGCACGGTGGAATAATGTTGTTTGGTTTCCAATAAAAATTCTGTTGAGTTCCATTTTTCAAAAATTTTAATATAGCACAAAGTAGATTTATAAAAACTTTTTTAGATGTTTTAATTTTAAGAAATAATAGAAATAATTTCTTGTAGAATATATGAAATGAATTTTTGAAAAAAAAATAATAACTCGTAGATTAGATCTTAAAGAAAAATATTTTACTAATGTGTTTTTATGTGGAAAAAAGTTAATAAAAATTTTCCTCTATGTTGCAGATCTATTGGTTATGAAAAATACTAAAATGTGCATATATTTTTTTAAAACATCATTTATTTATGTATTTTTATTATTTTGTGTCCACGAGACTAAATGGGGCTAATGAAAGGTAGCGCCTTAAGCGATGAGTACCAAGTTAGCTGGAGGGTTTGCGAAAATTCCTAATGAATTTTCTGTCTTTCTTCGTGGCCGTCGTGATTACAAATCGCGAAGACTATAATCGTAGTCGATGAAATTTCTTTGCCAAAGTCATGCTCACACATACTTTTTTAATATGTGCATATCGATAACCGTTAACGCTGCAATTACACAAATCTTTTCCTTTGATCGCCAATAATGGCTACAATTTTTTTCCGCCGCCGCGGTCAAGTTGAAATGATGCGCTCACTCAGCGATTTGAAAAGCGAAAGTATTTTTCACGCTCACGCTTTTTTCGTTCATTCATTGATCGTCGCTGCGTTTTCACTACCGAAGTGGTCATTGTGTAAAATTAAAGTGGTTATATTTGAAAATTATGGGTTTGAAGATTTTAATATTATTTTTTTGTTTTTAAAGCGTTGTGCGTTTGTAAGCCCCCACTGAGGTGTGTGTGGGTTGTTATAGGCGAGCGGTGTGCCATACATGCATATATATATAGTATTCATGCATATGCTTATAGGCAGCAAGTCAGCGTTTCAACAACATGACAACTCCTTTGTCCTACACTGAGAAAACCTAAAGAGGTCTAGCGCCTATTTCCGCTCCAACTTGTCCCCTCTTGATTATCACTAAAGGAATATGAATGATTTAGAGCTGTCGTTAGTTCCTTTTAATTTAGGATAATATATTTTCAAAAAAAAACCTTTTAAGTATTCACAAAACGTTCGATGAATGCGTATCACTTTGATATGTCAAGAGAGATTTGAAGAATGGCCAGAAAAAAAGTTCACTTTCAATGTTCCAATTTGCTTGGGCAATAGAAAGTCTCAAATCTTCAGCGATGATTTAAAATATGCTACAATTTATATGTACGCACTTACAAATACATACATATTATATATAAATAGAATATCGTCATTTGAAAACGCATGCAACGCGTGCAAGCGCCGTTAGCATAACAGATTTTGCGAACGCAATTGTTTCGGCAGCTGTCAATTGACTCAAAGTCACGGATGGTTGAATGTCTGAATGAATATGTGCCTTTGGTGCCTGCAATGAATTTAAATACCGTTGAGTTAGCCACTTCGCTAACGAAGAGTAATTTATGAGTATAGTAAACAATGAAATATAATGTATTTATGTTTGTACATATGCCTGTTAGATAGCCATAATATTGAAGGTATGTCATAGTGAAAACTGTTTTCATTTCTTCTCATTTGCTTAAATACAATCAGCTTCTTCGTTTTTTGTTTGCTTTTGTTGTATTATGTTTGGTGTGTAATTAGTGATTCAACCTTTCGTTGCTGCCATCAAATGCATACTCCGAAAATTCTCACATCAATGTATAATGCGCCAAATTTATAGCATACTTTTAGGCGATAAACTAGCCAGCTCTCATACCAGATACATCAAGTTTTTCTAAACAAATCCACTTTTATAATGAAGACACAATGAAATTGCTTTTAGGCGTTGCTCTTGATTGTGAGAAAATGGGTAATATCTGTCTCTCTGTGTTAGTTTCGGTATGGTTGATAGGCATGTCGTTGTGAGTAATTAAATGTGAAATGTGTTTTGCTTAAAGCTTCGTTTTGAAGTATACAGTCTTCGAGTGCATCAGTGCTCTTTAGAGTAACCTGCAATTGGATATGTGCTCAATCCCTATTGCAGCCCTTAGGGCTTAGACCAATCCTAGATCGTGGGTCATAGGAAAGTGAAGTACATGGCGAAGAGTCAGAGTGGTAGTCCTTTGGGGTTGTCATATGCTTATAACTTCTCTCAAGGCTTCCTTCTTCCTTACTGTTGTAAGCCATGCTTTGAGACTGATCGGCCCAACATCCAAAATTATAGAATATCAACTTGAATTTAGGTTAACTTTCTTTTAAATCCATCAGCCATACTGAGGCAGCTTAGAATGAAAGCGGTTTCAAAGAGAGAATCCTACATTATCTGAGAGAGATTACAGTGCAAGATCAATCTATAAAAATATTTATTGCGATCTTAACATTCTTCCATGAACTTATGTACGGTTAACTATGGTTAAGTAAACATGGTAATGGATTGGATTGAGCGAAGTGACCTTGGGTTAAATATTCAATATTACTGTGTACATTTCCTAAGGTGATTTTTATTATAACTTTCAAAATATAAATTTACTCTTCTAAATATTTTCTATTGCTTTCAAAGAATATCCTCACTTATACTAAATAAAGGAATAAATATTAATAAAGTCTGCTGTGATACTTAAATGCTTCAGGGAGTGAATAAAGCTACTCTGGTTTTACGGGCTCCAGATAAAGGTGTAAGTCATATCATGTTGGTTTCTCTGCTTTTGCTACAAACGTACACAACAACAAAATTATGAGAAGATCAAAATATAAACTAGAGCTGTGTTTACCACATTTTCTGAACACAAAATCAAGTCTCCTGAAAACCAAACGATTAAATAGTTTGCCCTTTCGTTTGCGTGAGATTCAAACATCTTCTTCACTGTTAAGCTGATGCACCGTCCCGCTTTTGAGAGTGCTGGTCTCTCAACGACAACATATAGCGAGTATAATCGCTGGTCCAGTCTTAAATTATTGCTGCCACCATTAAAAGATTTAATGTTATATAATAAATTTTGTTTTACATTTTATTTGCAATAAGTTACGTAATATTTGTTTACGATTAAATGCAACTTAATTAGGCCTTTCGACGTATATGTTATAATTGATTATTAAACTTTTATATTTTTTATTCATTTTTATTTTTATTTTAATTAATATTAACTAATAAATAACACATTTGTGAATTATGACTGAAAAATGTTTTGAAAAACGCATTCAGAAAAAGATATGAATCAGATAAATTTACTAAGTACAGCGAAGGTTATTGCAAAAAGTCATGCACACTAATAGTTAAGTTTACAAAATTACTATAAATAATTAAATATTATTATTTTTTAATATCAAGACACACTTAAATTACACTTAGCAATGGCCTAAAACCTATTTATTGTTACAAATATATTTATGTACAGTATGAATAATGCTAATAAATAAACGAAATGAGTGTTTAAATATTTCTTTCTTTAAATGCAAAATGCTCAAAAAACGTATGAAGTTGTATGTGTACATTAGCTTTGCGTGTTTGCCTTTGTATTTAAATTTTTTTGTTGTTACAAAACAATGAATCCAAGAACATTTCGGCACAAACAACACATATTTATATTTTCAGTGAATTATTTCCTTTGTATTTGACTAAAACTATTTACTCTGTTGTTCTATTTCATTTTTAGTTGGAAACTGATGCAAGTCGTTGCTTTGATTATAACGGAAAAGCCGCAAAGAGCATGCTGAGCGCTCCGCAGAGGCTGTGGGTATAACCAAAGCACAAGTTTTGCCATTTTCATACTCATTTGCTGAATATTTAGAAACTAAATGCCTTATCTCCTTTACCGTTACCGCTGTTCATTTCGCTTGTGGGACCTTTGTTTCATCATTGAGCTGGGAGTGATTTGTAATGCCTACTTTTGCTAATATAATTATTTAAATAATACAAGAAATCTCTTCTACTCTAAGTAAATATAATACAAACTATGGTTGCGATTGTGTTTTTGTATAATCGTTGTTGCTGTTTTCTTTGACTAACCTAAAATTGCAGAATTTGATTTATCCAGTCTCTGAACTCAGAGATACGTGTGTAGACGCCCGGTTGATTGGCCTCCGCACAGCCGATACCCCACGAAATGACGCCGCCCAACTGGAATCGTTTATCATCCTCGCGCTGCAGCACCATGGGACCGCCGGAGTCACCTTCAGATAAAAACAAAAAGAAAAAGCAAATTGATAAGTATGCTGGTGTTTATGTGTTATATGTGGGAGAACAGTCAAATACATACCTTCACAGGAATCGTAGCCGCCTTTCTTCCAACCCGCACAAATGAATATGTGCGGTATGTGCTCAATAAAGCCGGCCACGCGGTACATGGATTCACAGATGGTGTTGTTGATGACCGGCACAGCAACTTCCTGCAAGACACTTGGCAGCGGTCCATTTTCATAGAGGCGTCCCCAACCGGTTACAAAGGCAGTTTGACCGACAAAGTCTATGTCACTATTGGGCACACAAACGGGTATGATGTTGGGTTGGAAGACAACTGGCTCGTAGAATCTGCAGAAAGACAGAGAGAGAGAGAGAGAGAGAGAGAGAGGAAATTATTTTGTTTGAAAATCATTTTAACTGTTCTTCTTTTGATTTTCCCATTCAACTCACCTCAGTAACGCCAAGTCATATTCAAATGTTCTCGCGTCGAATTGTGGATGTGAAGCTACGATTTGAACGCGTCGCTCCTGATAACCGTACGGTTCCTCCTCCTCCGCCAAATCATATTCACCCATGCGTAACAAGAGATCGGAAGGTGGTACACTGAAAACAATTTTTTTTTATTTCTATATGTTTGTATGTAAATAAAGAAATTCACATACTTTTCCACACAATGCGCCGCTGTGATGGCCCAGTTTTCATTCAACAGAGCCGCTCCACATTTGTGCAAGTAGGTCGAGGTACGCCACTGTCGAAGTGAGATTTGCCAAGGCCAACGTCCAAAAGCCGCATTCGAGCCGCCGACTATGCGTGGCTCGGGGAACATACGGCGACCACAAACTGGTGAGAGGAAGAGAGAGGGTTTCAAAACCAAATAAATAAAAAGTAATTTTGCGAATTTTCAAAAACAGCGGTATTTTAATCTCAATGCTTATAACAGATTTCACTGAGAGTATTATGGAAATGTTTAAGACCAGTTGCAACCAGTTTTAAATTCAAAGAAGACTGCTTGGGAAATGTCAGGCTCGTGTTTATTTTTGAACTTCCCCAACTTTGTTGGTTGTTTTGAGATTTTTCTAGTACTTTTTGAATTTTGAGTAAATTGGGATTGATAGTGGTTCCCATTGGATTACAACCGTGTGGAAATTTCTTCAGATTTCCTATGCATGTTCGGTCCAGTTCCGGACTAGTACCTCACCATAAAATTTACCACTATTAAATTTGTATTTGTTAGGTATTTTCCAACGACTCTGTGCGTAGAAATGCAATTCTCCACACTTCCATTTGACCTGCTTACACAAATAACACCCAACAGACTTCTCACTCCGCACTGTGTGCATATTTTGTTTATAATAAATGGAAAAGTTAATGATTTTGCTGTGCTCTGACAACGCTCTACACAGCATGCGGAACGTTGCATGATGCTTTATAAATATAAATGCAAATACTTTTATTAGGGTGCGATTTATATTTGCGGTGCTACACTTCAAGAGTAAAAAAAATGAATTAAATCAAAATCGTAGTGATTAATACGGAATGTTAGGTGATTTCCTTATTCTCAAAACCCAATGGAATCCTTTTTCCTCCTGGCAATTGTAGTGTTTTCCAGGCGAAGATGTCTGTTGTCATAGAGGCAGCAAAGCGAATCGGATATCTTAGCTTTCAGCAACAGTCAGAGAGCAATAAAAGCACAGCATGCCCCAAATCCAGCCACATCTGGTCAAATGGAATCAAAACAGTTCACGAGATATGAACTCGAGAGAGAGACTACGGGAGTAAAATTTCATACTTGGTTGTGACAAAATCGGTATTATTTGCTTTCACTGTAAAATTTTAATAATAAAACTATATAGAAATGTCGATCTGTGTTTTTCATATAATTTAAGGCTCTACTTCAGAGTTATCACACAAAAGTCTTGTGTTTATTACATTTTACAAGTAAAAGTACCAGGGTTACGCATACGCACTGGTGTTCTAATAATTAGAAATTAATTTGAAAAAATTGCGAAATCTTTTTCACGGTGGTGTATATGCGTACAGCGCGCAATTGAGAAGGCCAAAATGTCGACAGGCAGACACACAAAGCGAAACGAGAACCGTTGGCATTTTCATAATCAATTAACCTTATCTGCATAACTAACGATTGCAAACGAACACCGTGGCCTGGTTTACAGTTAACATGAAGGAGATGCACTAAAATGAAGGCGAATTGATGGTAAGAGAAAAAAGGTAATCCAATTTCTATAACTTGCCTGGCCATCGGTTGAGCGAATGAAGCTTTCGCAGTTGGCTGCAGTCGCTTTTCATATGCTTTTACCTACATTTGAGTATGTATGCGTGTATGTACGCAAGCCTACAACAGTGCGTGAGTACGTGAAATGGCAAATCTTGCGGGTCAAATGTCCATATTACTCACGAATCGCTTTATATTTGCTCCAATGCAACACCACATGCAAATCCACATACACATTCGCATAACATTATCGTATTGTATTCAATAAGTCTGCATAAATCTACACTTTTGCATGCGCACATGCCACGGCTGCCTATTTAAGTCAATGCACCAACTCCACGCCATCGTCAACTGTTTTGTGGTGTTGCTGGCCTCGCCAAGTGTGCGCCATTGTCAGCCAATCAACGCACCAACTGAGGCGAGCGCCTGACTGACCGATTTGTGTTTTAAGGCAATTATCTTGATGCATGAGGGCCGCCAGCTGTGGCTGCTGAATGAGTGACCGACCAAACGGCCGACCGAGCGCTGCTGTGATTGTGTGTGCGCGGTCGAAAGACGCATGACTCAAGACGCATGCGATAGCCATGTAATTGCGGTGGTGGACAGTCGCAGATCCATACCTGAGGCTTTGCCACGCATAAGTTATATTGCTTTTTTAATGGCGGCGACTTAACACAGCACCTTCGGTCAGCTTTTATAGCAAGTTACATTCATGCAATCGGACTGGTGAGCCGGCGATGCATATGCGGGGTAGTGGTAAGACGTGGAACAGGTTGGTTGGTGCTGTAAATAATTTTTTCCCCATTAGCCTGTTACAGTCGCCTGCAGTCTAAGTATGCCTTCGACGGCCAAAGTCAAGGTTTATGGGAGCAACTTTATGCTTTGCTTGAAGATATTTTTCGCTGTTTCTTTTTCCTGATAATGTGTTCAATTATTTGGTGGGCTTTGGTGCTTATTTTTATATGATTTTTGAAGCTTGTGAATCAGTAAAAAAACAAAGCCGTAATGAAAACCACGAAGGATATTCAGTTCTTTATCTTAGTGGGGGTTTTCCATTCCTCTTGACCCTGAGTAGAATTCACGGGATTACGGAAGAAAATTATGGAGCTATGGAGTGTGAACAAAGCACTAGAACACACACATAATGTCTCACTTTCGACACTCCAGCTTTGTTGTTTAGAACTCTTCCAAGAGCTAGAAAAGCAAATTGATTTCCAGTCTAATTTGTCAATTCAACAAACTCGTGGCGAGACATATTGCAAGTCTCAAAGCTTTAAGTCTACGATAATAAGAAGCTATTTCTTCTGGGTTTGCAAGTTTCGATACAGCTGTTTTTTGGTATATTTACGTAGGATTAAACTTTTTGATCCTCAGATCGTGTCATATGAGGGGAACGACGTAGAGTGAAAATAGTTTGTTAGCAACTTACATTGCTCGGTTCATATCAGTTAAATACTAATTCTTTTATACTTAAAGACCTTCCACTATGCAGAATTACAAGAGCTACAAATTACCGTCAGTGACTATACGAGGAAGAACGTGAATATAAAAGCCGGCAAATATTATACGATAACTCGCCGTTTTACCTAATCCACTGGAGGATTAAATTTCTGGTTACTATTTCTATTGGTTCCATTGGGTAAACAGACAAATCAGAATGGGCTAAAGCTGGTGATGGTCCATAATCAGCCGGGAAAATTGAGACAATTCAAAATAATTGAAAAATATTTGTCTGCATTTTCATTACCTTTGGTGCGAAATAGATAAGTACCCAAAGGAAGAAATCTCTATCGGTGTGATCGGAATGACGAGTTGAGTTGATCTTGCCATGGCCGTCTGTCCCTCAGATTTTGCGATATTTCAACCAAACTCGGGAAGCAGATGTTTTTTTATAAATCCGAAAGAAGAATCCAAGGACGTGAGCGTTGATGTAGTTTGGTTTTGATTTTCGTGTTAGAAATATATTGGGAGGGGTTGGCGTAGCCTGCAAAGGAGCCACCTTGAATCAATCTATTTTTAATTCAACTGAAGTTCCGTACTTTTAGACATTCGTTTGGCGAAAGTTCGAACACAAGATATTCGGCACTGTTCATGACTCGGCTGATTTGGTCACCCCACTCATTGAAAAAGAATGTCAAAAATCAGGAAACAAAGCACAAAATATACACACCAACACCCACAACACACACATTCACATCAACGTGTTGGAAATGGAAGAAATCTTTCGTCTGAGAAACCGATTATAAGAGTAATGAAAACAACCACAAATTTACCGCAAATGGCAGCTGAAATTAATTTACTTCTTTGGGCAGGCGAATAACTCGGCCTGACATTTGAGTGAGTCAAGCATGGCAACATGAAATTCGTGCGATGAGTGTGCTCGCGAATATGCGCTGAACGCATGGCTGCGATTGAGGAACAGAGAAGATGACACCATGCCTACTTATAGGGAGGTAAGTATTTCTGCGCGTACATAAAATATTTGTAATTCAGGCATACAAACATACAGACATATCAAAATATCACTGCCACTTTTTGTAAGTGTCTTAAGAGCAGCCGGGTCACTGACTTCTTCGTTAGCCTTGATTTGATTTTGTACACCATAGAACGGTTTGAAGGTCCCACATCAAGGTCGAGGCAAGTAGCAAACGTGTCGCTCTTTATATTTACTTGCAACAGCCAAGTGGCGCACGGCATGGAAGCAGGCAAACCACTGAGCACTATCCGAAAGAATACAGCGAAGAAGAAGAAAAATTTAAAGCTTTTGTCTCTCTTTCTTATTTGCGCGAAAATCCCGGCTTGTTCCTGTATTTTAGTACGTTTCTGTTGCTGCTTCCGCTTGTGCCCTGACGTGCTTGAAGCTTAGCTGCACACTTTGGTATCTTCTTCTGCGGAGTTGTGGCGATGGCACTTTGCTGCAAGAACTTGCTTGCCGCTTGTTGTAATAGGTAGTCAGTCAGGCAAGTCAATAGTGCTGCGATTGTTGTTGTTTTTGCAGTTGGTAGCAAATTACAGGTTGCATTTATTTAAGCGCTCTTTTATTTGTTGTGCTTCTTCTTCTTTTCCATATATTTTACTTCACTTTTGTGGTGCAGGCATATGTTTTTTACATTGTTGTTGTTATAGTTGTTGCGTCTGTTGTTGTTGTTGTTGTTGTTGTTGTTGTTGTTGTTGTTGTTGTTGTTCTTGTTGTTGTTGTTGTTGTTGTTGTTGTTGTAACAACATTTGGCACTGCAAACAGAACAAGTTTCAGTCGTTGTACGCCGCCACGAAAGAACAAATTGACACAGAATAAGCAAAGAAACTAGATTTCGTGCTGCGGCTGACTTAATTTTTCCAAGCAATTTAATTGGCCAAGACAAGAAAAGATTTGTAGAAGTCAAGAGTGTAGCGCCAGATGTTCATGTACATAAACGTGCACCACTTAACCCGGTTTAGGCAAGTTGCAATTTGCAGCGAGGGCCATCAATTGTTGGAAAAGGGAAATTTATTTAATCTTTCAAATAATTCTGGCTCAAGAAAGTTTAAACCTATTTTCGAAATTCCATCGCTCCGCTATTTTCGAAAATCGAGCTTTCTCTTCTTACATTCAAAGTGTATTTCTTGCTGCACTTCCAATAAATGCCAGGGGTCTACACTCGTCCCGGGCGGCAGATTTATTTGAGTAATTTTTTTCTTCACGTCCGAAATATTATCAAAATACATTTCCTGTGGAGGGACGATCCTAATTAATTTTTTTGCCATAACTTTGCTCAGCATTCGAAACCACGAGTTTTCGTACCCCAGCCACTCAGCTGCAGCCGCCGCCAGTTCAATCGACTGGTACTACAAAAAAAAAACTAGAAGACGGATCAAATGAGGTGACTTACAGAAAAAGGTATTTTCTCTCTTTGTAACTGCAGGACGGTTGTATATCTATATACAGGGAACAGGGTGTTCCCATCATGCAGAGAATGTGGCGAGATTGTAAAAAGCTGTGGCGTATTCGATGAGCTCGAAGGGGATTGATCTCTATCTTCTAGCATCAACAGTCCAATGTAGGCGTAGCAGCCAGTTACTGTAACCTAATCTATAGTTTTCTGGGAAGTTAGGGATTTTTGGAATTCGCTTTATCGAATTCTTGTATACAAATGGCTTTTTAAAAAACAAAAGCTAAAAACACAGAAAGCTAAAAACTTTAAACCTTTACCCGGAAACGGGTCAAATGCAATCGAATGTTTTTAAATTATTCTTAATTCACTCACTTTGTCTGTAATCCATGCCCTCCAGTGAGTTCACCGGTGCCGATGTTGACGACGACAATGTGCCGTTATAATCTTCGGTGCTGTATTCGGTAGAGCCAAAGATACCTGTTCCCGTTGTTGAGAAACCTTCAGTGCTCTGTTCGGCACTTGTCGTCGAGGGCGTCTCTTCTAATTCGATGGCAGCCTCGGTGGTTGTTGTTGTGGTGGTGCTTTTTGTTGTTGTTGGGATTGTCGTTGTAGATGTGGTATTAGGAGTTGTAGTCGGTCTTGGTTTGGGTTTTGGCGTTGTCGTCGTCGTTGTTGTTGTTGTCGTTGTTTTTGTAGTACTGGGTGTACTTGTTGGAGACGTTGTTGGACTTTCTGTCGTTTTCGGCGGTGTCGGCGATGTCGGCGAGGTCGGCTTTGGCGGTCGTGCATTCACCACTGATGAGGGACGCTCTGGTTTTGGCATGATTGAGGTTATGTTGCTCATTATTTCACTAATACTAGTCGACACCGATATCATGGTGCTTGTCGCGGGCACGGACGTGGTGAAAGCTAAAAAATATATGTTTAAAGAAATTGTTTTAGTGAATTAAGTAAAACTAAATTGCTCAGTGGTATGCAGAAGGTTTTCCTATATCCATCATATTTCCAACTCACGAGTGTCATTTGTTGTTGCTGCTGCGCCCGTAGTTTTATTGCTGATCTCCTGCGTTAGCGTAGTCGGTGGAGGACCCCAATCGAAGGTTGCGTTTATTGTTGTCGGCTCGTTGTCCATGTTTGTCCATGTTATCAATCCTGGAGTTGTTGTTGTAATATCAATAAGTGGAGGCTCGATTTTTGTCGTCTCAGTCGTCAATGTCGCCGACTGCGGTGTGGTGCTGCTGATAGGTGCGGGTGTAGTTGTAGTTGTAGTCGTTGTCGTCCTGTGTGGTTTCTGTGTTCGCTTCGCTGTTGTTGGCTTCGCTGTTGTTGGCTTCGCTGTTATTGGCTTCACTGTTGTTGGGGTGGATGGAGTAGTTGTCGTTATTGGCCTTGTTCTTGAGGTCGTCGGGTGCGTGGTGCTCGGGTGCGTGGTGCTCGGGTGCTTTGTTGTCGTTCTGGTTGTCACCGGAGCAGTTGTCGTTGTTATTGTGGCAGTTGTTGTCGCTGGTGAAGATGTTGTTGCCACCGCAGCAAGACTAGGCTTTGGTACTTTCACAATCTCAGCAGTGGGTTGAGGGCGCGGCCTTGGCGCATGTGTTGTTTGTTGCACCGCTTCTGCGGGAGTCGGAACTTTGGTCTCTTGCACTGTGGTTGGTAACTCATCCTTATTTAGTGTCGTCGGGGACGGTGTTGGTCGACGGTGCGTTGTGGCACTTGCTCCAGCAGCTGTTGTTGTGGTGTTCAATGAAATTGGCTTCACCGCCTCGTTGGCATCACTACCAACAGGTCTTCTTGTGGGTCTAGTGCTTGCCGCCGGCCGTGGCTTTGTCTGCGAGGGTCTCTTGCTTGCTGTGGGACGACGTGTTATCAATGGCCTCGGTCTGGTGGCGTAACTAACAGGGTCTGAAGGCTTTAGTGTGGTGGTTACAAATTGCGTTGGCACCTCAGTCGTAGTTGGTCGTGGTCGATGACGATTTGTGGTGTGCACCGGCCGGTGTGTGGTGGCCACTTCATCCTGTTTAATATTGCCTTCCGTAGCCGAAGGCGTCGTAGTCTCCACAATTTGGAATGTGAAGAACTTTGTCGGCTGAGTGGTCACCTCGATGCGTGTGTCTACTTGGGGGCTCGTGATGGTGGTTAGAATGGGACGTGCAACTGTGGTCTTACGACGTGGTGGCTTAATTGTTGTTGGAGCAGCGGTAGGCTTAGCTGTGGTTCGCACTACAAACTGAGACGTTTTATGTGTTGTATGCGGTGGTTGACGTTTTGGCGCAGCTTGTGTTGTTATGGTGATTTTAACTGGTTTCACACTAGTTGTTGTTACGGTTGGTGTCGTATCGCCCTTATCATTTGTAACGGTACTACTGCTAGCGCTGTGAATGTGACTGTTTTGTTGTAAATAACTTTGAGTGACATTTTTCACCGTTTCGCTTATGCTGTTACTGCTGCTTTGTACCGTGTGGTGAGGATCTAACGTGGTGAGTTTGAAGAGGGTACTCGTGGGTAGTGTCGTGGACTCGTGTGGAAAATGTGAGATCGTGTTTTGATCGATGCTGTTGTCGCTAATCTCAGGCGCAAAGAGCGCGGCTTCGTCCTAAGAGAAAGGTAAGGAAAGGTCGTTAATTTAGTATTGGGGGAAAAATTCGATTGAAAGAAGACAAATTTCGAAGCAAATACAGATTGGTAGGAACGCAATGTATGGTCTAGGGTTTCCTTTCAATTTTTCGAAATTTATTTGCATTCAAATAAAATAGCAAATCTAACTTACAGTTTTTGATTTTTGTTTTTACAAAAATATTTGAATACCCGACGTGAATATGGTGCGTATGGGTATCAGATTAAGCCTTCCAATTTCTCCATAACTTCTCACTAACTTTTATACTTCTATTGATTCAATCTTACCCTTAATTTAAGAATTGTATATTCATTATTTCACTAAGTTTTCGGTAAGCATTTGCCTAAGTTTTTCTTGACTTTGTTGAATTATAAATAAATACCAGCCTTAAGGGCTTAAGTACTTTGTCAGGTTGTTAAGATGTTTCCTAAGTTCTAATATCTAAACTCAAATGTTTTGGCTCCCAAATTACTTACCTTCAATTGACAGCACGAACCGAAATAGAAACGATCGATGCATGTGCCCAAGTGTGTGCCATTCTGTTTAATACAATCAATAGCAAACATACAAACGCCCGAACGGCCCGATTTCCGCACAATGCAGGGCAAGTGTCGTATATTTCGGCCGGATTGAACTAAAAACAAACAAACAAAAATTAAATTGAAATAAAACGTTTTAAATTGTGTTTTAATTTAAGAAAACATGAAAAATTATTTAATAAATTTGTAATTTGGTTTCAGTGAAAAAAAACTGTAAGTTTAATTTTTTTATTTTCGTTGCCCATAACACACATTTGGATATGCTAATTATTACTACAATTTCTCGTTTAACGGTGATTTTTTTTTGATTTCTTATTTCTATCTATTTTTTGCCTAAATCTAAACATAACCTACTTTATTCTCAACAAACACAAAAACCTATGCAAATTATTCATTCACCCAAGCGCACAACAACTCTTGACTGCTGCTGTTGCCATTTTCGTAAGATTCTCAATTATTTACATTAATTCAGGCATAATAATTTGTTTTGTTGCTTCTTCCAATTTGCCACTTCGCATTCATTTCCGCTGCTGTCGTCTTTGCGCTACGTCTTTGACGCCTATAAATTTAACGCCAATTTGAGCATTGGTCGCGAAAACCGTTAGCTGAGCGTATAACCGTTAGCATAAGTGAAAATCAACAAAAACAACCTAAACAAGCGAGAGCCGTCGACCAACTTAACTAAGGGAAGAGCGGCGAAAGCCGAATCAAGCTTGGAACTATCACAAAGTTATACAAATACAATCATACACAAGATATGTGTATGCGGATATATATGTTTGTATCTAATTATTACAAACCGTGAACAAAAGCTTGGCTGCTGCTGCCGAAATTATGGTTTATTGGTTTTGCTTTTGTCTTTTTATCGCCTTCTCTTTTCTAAAGCATTAATTCATGAACATTTGAAAGCTTTGTATGAACATAACTTCATGTAGGCATACATACATGCACATGCCTACATGTGGCTGTGTGTAAAATATTTATAATTATAAGTTGGCTTCTATTCCGTTGCCACTTTTTGCTGTCATTAATGTCTCTATTAAAACTTCCCAAATAAGTATTCTTCTGCGCACATACGTGTACATACATATACAGCTAATTCGTTATAGACACGCAAAACATGAAAATATCGTGACAAACAGTGGCGTTTTTCGGCCGCAGCTTTAAGTAAGAAAGAGAGTACGCGGTGGGTGTGAGCGTTGTTGTTGGAGAATTACAATTCTTATTGATTGCAATCAGCAGTGAATTGAGTTGTTCCAGCTTGATTCGATGGGTAAGAGAACTTTTTGGTCGATTTTCATTTGGCCAACCAACGAACGGTAAACTGATTGGATACGTTCTGAAGAGTCGAAGTTAATATACATACATACATACTTATGTACAAGTACATGTGGGTATATACATTGCCATCCAATATGTGCCATTAGAGAAATATGGAGAGTCATAATAATGCTCTTTGCGAGTTTGTGATGTAACATTGGGCAATGCCCCGCGACATTAAGTAAAAGACTTAAGCAACGAACTTGAAGAGCTGAGTGAAGTTATTTAATAATGAAATGTAATTTAATTAAGAAATAAAGTGGAATAACATAAAAAATTTAAAAAGTTATTTAAATTAAATAAATATTAAATTAAACTAAATTAAATTTAAATAAAATGAAAGCGTTTAATGAAATTAAATAAATGTTTTCAACACGGGGTATTTCATAGCTAAACATCTTTTCATAACCTGAATTAAGGCGTGAGGCACTCTAAGATTTTGAATACGCATTAATTTTTTTCTTGCTCATAGGGTACTTTTGGGTCCGAGTGGTTTAAAACTGAAAAAAAAAAAAATATTTTAAATATCTGAACTTTTTATTTTGCTGCAGCTCACCAAAGCGGACGCTGAGTACAATGAAAACTTTAAGCGCGTATTTATCGAAAACACATTTTTGAAACTTTGAAGACAGATTATTCTGACCCTACTGCATCAATTTATCTAAAATAGCTAACAGCAGCTTCACAAATTCATTTTTCGGGAAGTGCGTAGCCTTTCTTCGATTATATTAAATTTTTTTTCATAATTTAGTGCGTATTTTTTTATCCGCCTTCAAAAAAATTAGTTAAAAAGTAAATCCGCATGTATTTCTGAAGACTGAAAATTGTACATCATAAAATTTTTTAGTCTCTTATTATAGGTCTCATCGTCTAGAAGAAATCGGTGCTCGTCCACATGAGCCAAAAAGTACGGATTAAATAATCGAATTTATCACCGCCATTTGTAACAAGATAACAATAAAGGAATATGATTTTATACTTCAATATATGCATATATGTTCAATGAAATGGTTAAATGGAAGTTCCATTCCTTTTTCCATATTCCTACAATAAATCTAAAACGAAAAGTGTATTTTTCAACATCTAGAGAATTCAATTTTCGCATTGATGCCAGTCAATTAATTAACTTTTTCAATTATTTTACAGCTTCAATAACCGTTACATAACCGTTATTTCAAACAGTATTTGCTGAAGTTTTCTGCGATTTTTTGCATCGAACTGACCTAGAATTTTTAATTAACTAAACATTTCTTCTTATATTCTTCCTTCTCATTTTCCAAGTCTTATTGAAAAAAATTTCCTTCACCTATGTCTATGTATTTGATAATCGCCTTAATAATATAAACACATTTGCACATTTAATTGTTCAGCATAGAATTTCAAATCTAATTATGCTCCAGCTATCAGAGATTAAATGTGAACGCTAGTAGTCTATACACATTAACGGTATTAATGTTGATCTGCCCCATGTGGCATGGGATATGCATTAATAATAATGATAAACAACAACAGCAAATATATGCACATTTCATCAACGAAATGCGGCCGTTAGAACAGAAATTGGGTCAGCTGAATTGCAATAGACAATGCCAAAACAACCACTCATACACACATACTTATACAATTGTGATTGCATATAGTTTTATGTGTGTGCAATGGACAGATAATTAGATTTTTTGCTGTTTAAATGGGAAATTGCCTTGCTGTTTTTTTACGTATGTACATGCATATGTGTGTGGATAGAATCTAATGATAAAGCAAAACTATGTAGGATTTGAGAACTTTCGTATTGCTAAAGGAAATGGAAAAAAGTAAGAGAAATTTGAATGTAATTTGAATTGCTTGGAAAATCGATTTAAACACAATCGGCGAAGTAAAATTTAAACGTTAGAGGCAAAAATTCGATTTGAATTTACTTTGTTTGAAATTTGCATTGCATAATGTGAAAGGTGCGGCTGAGAAACTAAAATGAGAGGTCGCTCAGCTTGGAGCTCCCAGCAGGCAAAGCTTAAAAAGTAATATTCTTGCATTTTATAAAACCAAAAATATCACATTTTTAATATCAACACCCAAGACTGAACAGAATTCAGCCTTTTCTTAGCTTTTTCGATTGATTTCACGCGACTAATGCTCAAGCAGCGGTTGGAAATACAGCCGATTTTCTCGGTATTGCCCTAAGACTTCTGTAATTTTTGTAATTTTTAAAAGCATTTCAACACTTTAAAACGAAATTAAAAATGTTTGTTACATCATTTTGAGTAAAAAGCTCAATAACACAAAAGCGTCAGCATGACATAATAAAATGTGACACTCTTCTTCTTCTTTCTAATGCTGTACATGAAATTTAGGTTAATCCGCATGAATATTCGTGTTCGCCGGCGTTGGTGGCAGCTCAGCTATGGCTTACGAGTGGATTAAATGTCAACGACATGCTCATCACATCAGCGGCTATTTTGTGAGGCTTTGAAAAAATATTTCATATTTTGGAGCTGTAATCAAGAATAACGGTATTCCAGCTGAATAGTCGTGCTTAGGAGATAGAGAAAGAAGAACTTGAAGCTCTTGTTGAGCTCTTCGGCGTACATTCTCATGGGTGGCATTGAAGTTGCTTATAATCTGTTTTTAAAATTGACACATAAGCAAGGCATTGGGTAAAACTTTCGCGATCTAAATGTAAAATTATACTAAATAAGTTGAGTCTTGGCCATTTTCCAGCAGCGCAGTCAGAACCTATTGCCAAGTAAAATTCATTTCTTTCATTTTAGTCGCTTAACAGTTCTCGGAGGCTAATGACAGATCAGTAAGGTTGGCTTATATCGATGCTCCAGTTGAAGCAGATATCCTAAAACTCTTGGAAAACACTTCAAAACTGTTTGTTGTTAAAAACCAACTAATTACAGCACTTTCTACAATTTCGGTCTAATTATATATTCTTTGAGCTTTCTTCACTCCTGATTTAAGATTTGGTTTCTATGAAGCAATTATATTTCAGAGAAAAAAAATTGAATCGAAAAACGTTAAAACAACTGATTCCCTTTCACTTTGTTGTTGATGGAAAGCCAATTATTCATTTCTCAGACAAAAGTGGTGCAACACCTCGACACGCCAACGGTCACCATTCACCACCACAATGTGGCGCTTTAGTTGCTGCTGCGGTCAATTTAAAGCGCGCTGATTTCTATAAAGAAAAAACACAAAACCGACAGAAGAAAATTCTCACTTGCCACAAATGTCGGACAATTACCTGAATGCAATTATCTGATCACTTTCATGAAAGATTTTTCATCAAGTTGATTTTCTTTTGATTTCGCCTTTATATTTTTAGTTTGTTTTTTTTTTCTTTATTTTCCCGCATTTTTATTACTATTTATTTATTTTTTTCCGTTTTACTGCCGACAGTCGTAATTCATGTTGGTCCACTGGCGGCAACGAGGTCGTGTTGTTGGGTGGCTAGTAAAGCAGGAGTTATTCGTTCGTTTAGAAGAGCGTATGGCTTTGGAGGCACAGCTGCCTTTGTTATCGTTGTTGTTGCTTATTGGACAGACACACCTTAGGTATTGCCCGCATTTGAGTTGCTGTAAGTATTTTTGTATTTGTTGTATAGCGGCCTGTGTTGTTTCCCATTTTTATGGCAACATTCTCTCGCTGTCGCCTGCCACTGCTAGCTGACCTCAATTGCTTTGGAACGCCTAATAAGAAAGTATTTGCCATTTCTATCTAGCCACGAGCCAGTCAGCCAGCCAGCCAGCCAACCACTTCCTTCTGGCTTAAACTTGAGTCTTTTCTTTTTATCTGTTATTTGATTTATGTGATTCTGGTTGTCTTCCAACCGCACAAATTTTTTATTATTTGATTCCACTAGCATTTAATGGTGTTTGTTGCTATTGTTACAGTGCTACCGCGCTTTTAATATATGTATTCAACTCTATCTTAATTTCATAGTAATTTATTTGGAAATCTTCACTGTCTTCCGCTTCACGCATTCGCTTTTAGACTCACTCGCGTCTGTTGATCCCTCATTGTTGTTGTTCTGCCAAATTATATGAATCAAAATAAGTAAATATTTTATAATGAACATAAACCAGTTTCAGATCACACCAGCATGGAGGAAGTGTTAATTGCATCTAAATTAATTAGTTTTTATGAGCTTCTTGACCCACATATTCATATGGATATTCATTCATTCCTCGGACGCACCCGCACGCACTCGTAAAATTAGAGTTAATTTGCTGTATCATCTTGCGTGCTCGTACTTTCAGATCAGCTTACTTGTTTTGATGTGGGCGAATGCTGTTGCTGTGTGTGTGTTTGTGTGCGTGTGACTGCTTGTATTTGGTAGCGTAAGCCGTTGCTACATCCTTATCATCACTTTCATTAAGGCTTGCCAACACTTTCATATTCTCTACGGCATACACTTTGCGGTTGAGTCTCGTCTTCTAAGTCTTTTCTCATTTGATTGATGCCGGCAGTATGAAGCGGGCGAAGAAAGTTTGCACGCGAGGCAGAAGAGACGCTGAATAATCGACACAGAGTTTCCTGTCACAATTTCTTTCATGACTTTTTATTGAAATTTACAATGCAAATGAAAAGTTTGAGATTTCCTATTTAATTTCATTATTCATTTTGTTCATTAAAATGAGTTTAAAAGAAGACACTGTAGCCGAGTGAAACTTGTGGTATTGGAGGCAAGTGACTTGCAACAGAGACCTCCGAGTGTATTTTTTTAAGTGAGATCGGTTCAAGGCGGTCCAAGGCATCTTCGCCTGCATCGAGAGGTTTGTTTGCGAATGCAGTTAAGCCGGCGGCATCCACACGGCCGAGGTGCTGTGCTACTGGTCTGAGGATCGGACATTGCCTTGACATTCGTATTATACTGAAAGTCTCCAGAAGTTACCCCGCCTACTTTTGCAAGCAAATGTCCACACTACGTGTTCAAAGGTTTTTTGGAATTCTTTTCAGAAAACTTAATTAACTTTTAAGACTCTTTGACTACAGAAATACGAACAAAAGTACAAATATGCAGTCCAGTGTTAAATCTTCAGCAAGCAAATTGAGCTGGACAAAGTAGTTCTGGCCAATTTCGTATTATATTTAAAGAAGTTATTCTTCGGCTCTGAGCTGCGGTTTTTCTCTAATTAATTTTCGTGCAAAGATCAACTTTTTCCTTTGTTATGAAATATGTGTGTATGAGCTTGCCTACAAATTTCTGTACCTATTTATGGCAGCACGCACAGCAGGTACGTGAGAGAAAGTAAAGCAATTCTTAGACTCCAAATATGCTGGTCTTCAACTCCGTCGTAAGCCAGTATTTGACATTTCCTTGTCATAGTTAATTTCCTTTTTTATTGTTTCTTCATGCGTTGCTTAGCGCGAATAACTCTTTTGCTGGCGCCGATGTCAACTACCTCATTAAGATAAGACCGTTATTAGCCACGAAGGCTGTAACAACTTAAAAGAGCATAAATAAGTATTTAGTTCATTTGAAAAATTTGTTGCTTTGATTTTTCAGTCATAATTTAACAGCGTAATTTTAGTTCATTTGCTGCATTGTTGGACTGTCTGAAAGGGGTTTTCTTACTAAATTTCCCTTACAATGGGTATCGTTGAACATATCACTGTTGTCTATAATTGATTCTGAGAAATGCGGGTGTATCCGGATGACTGCTATGTATGCCTCTCCGAAATATCACACACTAACACATCTATTAATTATATCTGATTTGTAAAGATAACTGATGAAAGTGAAACTAAAAATTGTTAAAAAATAGTTGCCTTGTTTTTCGTTGTATGTGTTTGCTAGAAAATCTCAAAACGCAAACAAATTGGAGAAGGAGATCAGCCGAAAATCTTTTCAGCGCTGCATCAGGATGGCATTTTAAAATGCTTCTGTTAAGTTTTTATTGATTACTTATTTTTTTACCGTTATTCGAAAGAAAAACATATATCGAGCCATAAGTACGATACTTCCCTGTAGTAGATCGGTCCTTGGCCCGTTCGCATGAAAAGCGGATAATTTATTTAAAGTTTGACCAAATTGCTCGCGATATCAAAACCGATTAGGTACTTTCGGATTTCATCCCATATAAACATCGATCTGAAGCGTTGTTCTAAGCCAATTTTTATGCCCTCTTTCACTCCTTTAGAAGTAGAATTTCGAAACGTCCCTTAATTGTCAGCTTCTTCCGTCATACAAGACCACGCCCACCAACTTTCAGGTTTCTCTTACAATAGAACACAGACTTAGCTCAGAGCCGATTTCGTGTGACCGACAAAATGTTCCTGTACCGAGTTTTCAGCTTGGCTGTGGATAAAATTTCACTGTCTCTTGCTTCTTGACGCCACTATCAGCCCAACTAACCCTAGAGGCTACAAAGATTGTGAAGTAACAGTTGAAGGACGCAGTTACCCGGATGTTCAGGAATGAGGTTAAGATTCTTAATCTTTGTTTGGGCAGGCCTCAAATACTTCATCATAATACTTGTAGTTAATGGGTCCCACCCCTATGGATGTTACTTATAAGATAACTATTTTAATACCATAGTGATAGCTCAGATCTATCGTTCCGAATATATATAAGTTAGTAAATTTTCAATCGAAAATAAAATAAAAATGTTCTACTGCGTTTTATACATATATAAATATGTTCGTATCGACGATCAAAATTTACTATAAAATTCTAGTTTCCCTTTGGTAAAAAACTTAATATTCCCAGAAAACGCGGTGCGTGTAATAAATGTCAGCGCAGTAAATTCCTTAGCTTTGGTTCACTTTGGATTGGCTGTTTGCCTAAGAATGTGAGAAAGATTCGACTACAAAGTTGTTGCCTGAGCTGACTGAGTGAGTGGCCGGCTTTCATTAAATAAGAAGTATTATTACTGCAGGTATCTGTTATCTCGCACATATATATGTGTGCGTGTGTACGTGTGTATAATTATGCATACAAATACAATAAAATATGCATTGAGCAACGGAAGAGGCGGTTCATTGGCATCGAAATAACTCCAGATGTGCAAGCAAACCGCTCGGCTTAAGAGCTTTAATTGCTTTTACTGAAAACTCGTTTCTCTCATAAGCAAGCGCACTGTACTCACCGCAGACTAACTAAAATATGCTAAGTAAATATAATTTAAATATATGTACAAGCTTGAACTTAGATGAGTCTTATCTCCAGCGAAAACAAATAAACGAGGGAACTCGAAAAGTTTGTTCACCTAGTTTTTAGTTTTACCTGATTTTTTTTTAATTTTTGGTTTACTTGATGAGTAATACTTTGAGCTGAAGACCTCATAAGAGCGTTTTGTGTGTGGTGATAAGTAAATTATTGGAGATTTCCTACTCACATTGTGCTAAATTCGGGTTGTCAACGAAGACGGGTGTCGCCATTGCTGGTGTTGTAGCGCAACCGAACAGCAGCAGTAACGCCAGCAGCGACAGTAGTGAAGCAGCAACGGTTTTTGACGCTTGCCACATAGGCATGTTGCTGTTGTTGCTGGAATGATGCAGGTGTAGTAGGTCTTGTTGTTGTTTTTGTTGTGATGTGTAGCTCAAAGTGCTTTCTTCGGCACGCACATCTATAATTTTACTATAATTCCTTGACGAATCTGATGCTGAGTTTCTGTGTGACGTTCTTGTTGCAGCGGCCGTTGCTGCGGTGGCTTCAGTTCTTGCGTCAGATTCAGGAGGGGGAAACGCAGCTGGTTTTAGTTGACGTATTGTGCCCATCTGGAAGAGAAGAAAGAGGTGTTTTATACATTTAAGAAAATACATAAAAGTATAATAAAAATTTCCAAGAACTCGCTTATATCCTATATAATTTTGCTCCTGTTCTAAATGGATTTGTGTAAGGAGAAAAAGCTTCGTAGTAGCATAAAATGTTAACTGAAATGGAAAGTAAAAATTAAAAAACAAATGAGAATAATACACGCTCAGAAATAACATTAAACAAATGCAGGGGGTTTCGTTCTTCAAGTGAAAAGTGAAAGTTTTGACATATTCAAATTGAAAGCATTCTTTAATTGAAAAAAAAAGCTTACAAAGTAGCAGCAACACTCCCATACCCAATGCAAAGCAAAGCACCAACTCATAAATACCCCAAAAACACGTAAAGAAATTATTCGCAAAATACAAAAAACTTTCATTCTGACCTAATATTGTCTCACAACAAGCATAGAAAAAATACAACTACAGTTTCAGCGTCTTGCTACAGCTGACACTGATTGTAACTCACTTCTGTCACAGGTCGTGATTGTCGTACAGCTAATGTTAGTTCTTGGCAACTTTGGTTCCATTGTGGCTGCCTCCGGTGACTGGCAGAGAAAGAGTAGCAACAGATGCAAAGATGTAGTGGCACAATTTGTTTACTCGCTATGGATGAAGATAAGATCAACGTCGCTACAGTTAACCCAACAAACCAAATAAAAAATAAACTATAAAATAAAATAAACCAAAAAAAAAGAAATAAAATAAAATAAAATAAAATAAAATAAAATAAAATAAAATAAAATAAAATAAAATAAAATAAAATAAAATAAAATAATATAAAATAAAATAAAATAAAATGAACTAAATTAAAATCTAATAAATTAAAATAAAAAAGTTAAACAAAATAATTTATAACCAATTAATTAAAAATGGAAACAAAAATTATAAAATAAAGAAGCTAAATTAAATAACATGATACAATATCAAATTAAATATAATTAAATGCTCAATGTTCAGTAAAATATAAAAAAAATCAAAATAAAAATAAAAATGAAAATTAAGAAGTGAGAATAAGTTATTTTGAACAAAGAGAGCAAAAAAATGTGGTTATATAAAGTCAATCAAAGCGCAGATATTTGGTTTACTGGACTACTACATTGTTAGAATAAATTGATTACTTTCGCTTCACAAGCTGCATTCATACATCGACGCCCACTGGAGCCTCTGTAAGATCTGGCTACAGTGAAATTTCACAAAACTATAAATATGTGTATTAATAAACATTTTTATCTCTTTTTGGCAAAATTCTCGTTAGCTTATCGAAAGCGAAAATAAGGGGAATAAAAAATCAGGAGTGATCACGAGTAGCAGAATTTGCGTTTATACGTTTATATATGCACATATATACATTTACATGTGTTTGTATGCTTATGTGTCTCCCCATACAAGTGTATACATACATACATACAAATATTCAAAAGCGAGTAGGTGAAAGTTATTGACGTTCATGCGAATCGAAATCACCGGGCATATTTTTTCCTTCCTTTGTTTCGTTTTTTTCTAGTAAGAAATTTTGCAAAATTGTTGGGTCATAAAAAGGGGATTTGCTGCAGACATTTAGTGAAGTTCAAAAACAATTAAGACAAAAAAAAGCTAAGTGAGTGTAAAAGTGTGCGTGTGGCAAATTGAATTACGCATTAAAAAGACATGCATTAGCTTAATGACTTGTTAAATATCGCAGAAAGTGAAATTTACAATCAAGTCGAATGGAATATGCCTTGCGAAAGCAAAAGCAAAATACTTTGTAAATTTTATATATAAGCCTTCCTTTGCAATTTTCCATTGACGCATCAGGAATTTCTCACTTCGAAAGTCGCCAATCAAAAGTTTTTTTTCATAATTTCGACACTATGCAACGTCTTCAGCATGAATCATCTGTTGGGCTTCACCTTGCTTACTTATTCATATTTATGCTGCTGGTTGGTCATTAGCCCAGTCAAGTCACACACTCGTACTCAAGCGGGCGTGTGAGACCGCCTTCACCTTTCACATCAATGGCTTGGCTTTTATTTTCCCTTTATATTTGCCTATTTTGCTTGCATTATTTATTAGCTTGGAGTTTGTGTGTGTATGTGTGTGTGTGTGTGTTTCGAATTCCACATAAAAGTGTGTCATGTGCTTCTTCTTCTCACCGCCATTGTCGAAGTGTATTTGGCAAAAATGTGTCACCTTATTTGGTTGTGAAAAAGAAAGTTTTTCTGCTGTTTTGAATATTTTCGTTTGTTATTTATGGACTTTTAGCGCCAAATACGTTTTAGAGTGTTAATAGAAATTCCATTTTGTCTGTTTGGTTTTATAAAATTTAGCAGTTTTTTATGTTTTCTGAGACTTGTTGTTATATAATTGTTGCTTTATTATCCGTTTACTGTGAAATTGAAGATTGATTCTCGCTTACTGGTGGGCAGTAGATTAAATAAATGTAAACTAATCGCACAAAGTGTCGATTTTAGACGTTTTCTAACTCCTGCTCTGGCCAGTTGTCCAGGCTCTGAACGAGCAAGTTAAATTATGCACACCAACTTAAGTAAAAATCATTCCAGGTTTCAAATAAATTTGAACGAAGACATAATTTAATTCCAAAATTATCGCAACCTTAAAAACATTTATATTTTTCTTAAATAAATAAAACGACTAAATGTCATTCTTACTAGACTATAGACATACACAGGTAGCAGCTCTATTCTCTATTGGTTACACTCTATGGCTGCAGTTAAATTCACCTTGAAATAACCACATTCAACTCAGCGCATAACCAATATTCACTAAACCAAACGTCGTATTCATCGTAAATCAAACCAAATTAAATGAAATCAACCAAATTCAATTTCCTAAAACTCAACTGAAATTGAAAAGTAGCTTCTTCACCTTTCAGATTTATCTTTTTTGCACTGATATCGATATATTACATCCACTATACATTTTCCAACCAAAATAAAACTCTATTCTTAAGTAATCTTCAATAGCTAGAGCCGCATTACTTCTCAATCGATATTAATCGATAACGCTGATGAAGAAAATGTGAATTCTTTTTGTCTCACGAAAATATTATATCAATGGTAAAACTTTGGGTTAATAGTTGGGTTTCGGTAGGTCCCTTCCAAGACTTAACTTCTGATTTTCATCTCTTTTCAGTCCTGATGGAATCGGAGAGAAATCCAAATGATATTAACTACTCTATAAATTCCGATAGTTTCCGAGGATTTCTCTGGGTATCATTCACGAAACATTTCCTGGCAAGTTTTCCTGGCCATTCAGTTTTCTTATCCTGCACCAGTTGGCAAATACAAAAACCTTTACATATAAGGTCAGAATTGAATGTGTGGGTGTAACGAAAAAGCTCGATGTGAGTGTATGTTTTTACTGATGGTAAGCTGACAGAGACAAAACAGTATTTAGCAGGGTAATAAAAATTATATATCTCATTGAACTTATTAGTCCAGTGCAATTTTGGGTGTAGGAAAGTCTTATAAGATGAGCAGAGGTAAAATAGAGTCGTTAGGATTATACCTTTGAATGGGATTAAAAACAAGCAAAGTTATTTCGTCAAAATATTCTAAATTTCAATTCTTCCAAAACATGTTTTTTCCGTAAAATATAGCTGACATAACTCGCCTCCCATCTTTCTCCCTGTTCAAACTATTCACTTCACATTGCATTGTTATTGTCATTCAATGAAGCACATCTTTTGGTGTTGATAATTTTCATTGATGATTTGCTGGTCATCCGTTGTTGTGATATTTCGTAATTGCCTTGGCATTTCTCTATATGCTGTTATTCTATTCAATAACTATGTGGCTGTGATATACGAAAAGCACACAAATCTAGCGACAATTTCTTCTTTTTCCCAACAGCATAACAAACCGCAATTGTTTTGTGGTATAACTGAATATGAGATGCTGCGCCTGATGGAAGAGCAAGGCAGCGGTGACCAAGAAATTACGTACTAAAAGGCACAGCGAACAAAGAAGAAACAAAACTTTTATTCTGTATAGAATTTCTTCGTTTGCTGCAAACGAGTGCTACTTTTGTGTTTGTGTGTATTGTGTGTATGTATGTGTGCAGCTTCGTTAGCCGCATCCATATTATGTTGCACGTGTTTTCTCATTTATCTGCATATATTTTCACATTGTATGTTTGTTTGCATTCATGCATGTATGTGTGTGTGTGTGTGTGTGTGTTTCTGTGTGTATATCTTTCATAAACGCCAACTTGCGTAATACGGTCATTGACATTGTCAACTGGATGTTGGCTGTTAGTAATAATGCTTGGCTTCTTGATATTATTTTCTTGCTGTTTTTGTTTTCTTTTTAGAACAATTGCAACGGAAATGAGTCGCTACTGTTTGTGGCTTTGTTTGTGTTGCTGTTTCATTGGTGTTGTTGCTTTTGCTGTTTTTCTTGTTGCTTCGTTTGTTGGTCATTTCAGATTTCCATTCAGTTGTCGAACTTACGGTTTCTTCCATATACATATGTGAATATATACATATACAGCGACTACTTTACTCTTGTCTTTTGCCTTTTCTCCTCTTTTTCCATCGCATTATCAGTATTTGTCTTTGCTGACATTTTTTCTTCTTTGTTCTTATTCCACTCGCCGACGCTAACTTGGATAATGATCGACTCTACGGCTGTGCTTGTGCTAGTTGGTCGTAAGAATTTATCACGCTTGTTGGATCTGGAGGAAAGTATCTTCTGGCACTGCCTCTACTCAGCGAGCGCTCGTTCGCTATTTATGCTTTTATTTTCTTTGCTTTGTTTAGTTTTGTAGAATTGCAAACATTTTCTGCTGGTCTTTGGTTAAAATAATAAGTGTAATTTAAATAGCTTCTTGATAGCTTCTTGTTGTCTTTGTTTATAAGTTCATGAGGAATATTATACCTTTTTTAGTTGGCACATAAATTTAGTGCTCTACGCATACACAGAAGAAGAGTGCAGTTTATAATATTATGTATTTGTCAAGTA